ATATTCTCTTGCTCTCCTTTTTTTCATTCCCCAGCACAGGGTAGCCATCGGGTTCAAGAACTATGTACTTATTTTTCTTTCCTCCTTCCTACTCTTTTGTCATTGTGTCCTTGCGCTACCTTTAAAAAAAATATCAGTGCTTGGTGCACAACCACAAAATATATGATCCGTTAAGGTGTTTATTAGCCGGCAACCAGCGATCATACGCTATAGCGACAGTCACGGCCAAGCACGGACTCACAGCGTGAGCGGCGTCCTTGTTGGGTAGCCCCACTAGAAGGTACTCAAGAGTTTGACCCATTTCAGAGTTCGGAGGCTTCCCTACAGATCAAATGAAACGTGTAGTCGACGATAGTTGCGTTGTGGGCTTGTTCATGATTCACCTGAAAAGCTTTGATGTAGTGCAAACCGACACGTGGCCACGAAAGAGCAAACACGGATTGCGAAAGATGACATCACTCGTTTGATTGTGGAAGCCGAACTTATCGACGCACTTGCTGCTGTCTGCATTATCAAGCCATCAGCAGCATTGTCACCTGATCAGTTGGGCTTCCTGAGTCATCATCATCATCATCAGCCTGACTACGTCCACTGCAGGACAAAGGCCTCTCCCATGTTCCGCCAGTTAACTCGGTCCTGTGCTTGCTGCTGCCAATTTATACCCGCAAACTTCTTAATCTCATCTGCCCACCTAACCTTCTGTCGCCCCCTAACCCGCTTGCCTTCTCTGGGAATCCAGTTAGTTACCCTTAACGACCACCGGTTATCCTGTCTACGCGCTACATGCCCGGCCCATGTCCATTTCTTCTTGATTTCAGCTATGATATCCTTAACCCCCGTTTGTTCCCTTATCCACTTTGCTGTCTTCTTGTCTCTTAAGGTTACACCTACCATTTTTCTTTCCATTGCTCGCTGCGTCGTCCTCAATTTAAGCTGAACCCTCTTTGTAAGTCTTCAGGTTTCTGCTCCGTAGCTAAGTACCGGCAAGATACAGCTGTTATATACCTTCTTCTTGAGGGATAGTGGCAATTTACCTGTCATAATTTGAGAGTGTTTGCCAAATGTGCTCCACCCCATTCTTATTCTTCTAGTTACTTCAATCTCGTGGTTCCGCTCCGCGGTTATTACCTGCCCTAAGTAGACATAGTATTTTACAACTTGAAGTGCACTATTACCTATCTCGAAGCGCTGCTCTTTTCCGAGGTTGTTGTACATTACTTTCGTTTTCTGCAGATTCATTTTAAGACCCACCTTTCTGCTCTCCTTGTCTAACTCCGTAAACATGAGTTGCAGTTCGTCCCCTGAGTTACTCAGCAATGCAATGTCATCGGCGAAGCGCAGGTTACTAAAGTACTCTCCATTAACTCTTATCCCTAACTGTTCCCATTCTAGGCTTCTGAAAACCTCCTGTAAGCACACGGTAAATAGCATTGGGGAGATTGTGTCCCCCTGCCTTACACCCTTCTTGATTGGTATTCTGTTGCTTTCTTTATGAAGCACTTTCTTTATGAAGCTTCCTGAGTAAGTGGTGACAAAGGGTATTATCTGGGATGCGGTGTAGGTGGAGTGACATCACCCAGCATATATCCAAGTGATCCCGCGTGCTAAACACTCTGAAAAACAATGGCCGTGTATCAACGTGCTTAGCTGCAAATGTCGCCGAAAGACTATGCTCTTCTGTCTGGAGCCGCTGCGTGAGATGTGGACGCCATCTGGCAGTAATGCCGGGAAACAAAAGCTTGTGTAGAAATCAGAGCCTCTGGTACGTGGCAGCACCGTTTCGTCTTAGCGAAGCGTAGGAAACGCCCACTTTTCCGGGCATAGATAGCATCGCATCGTCAGCACAGCGTAAAAAACACTAGAGTTTTTAGAATTACGTACCTTTGCATTTCTAGTGAAGAAACACACCACCTAATACTTACGTATCGATGTTGCGCCTCAGATGTGCACAATATTTGCTTTTTGAACGATATTGTTCAAAAGTATGAATACAACCACCAGTTCAAGATGGCTGGGCATACAGAAAGGGCTTAAACTTTGGCTGGGTGGCTGAATCGTTATGTGTGACAGACGGACAGACAGACGGTCAGACAGACAGGCGGACAGACGGACAGACAGAGAGACAGACGGACAGACAGACTAAAATTTCCACGTTCAAGTATTCCAAGAAGGACTGACTTTGAAAAACGAAAATGAAAAGCAAATATAAAAATGGAGACCTAATTTTCAGTTGCCACACAAGCTGCGTCTATCGTTGAAATTCTTCGCAAAAACGTAAAACCATCCAGTTTATTCACACTGCTTTGCTGCCAGAATTTGAAGCTCAATTTTCAAGTCTCATCCCCCCTAAAATTCCGGCTGGCATTATAAAGACCTCGTGCGACGAACTATTATAGCCTGCCAGTACCTTCTGTCTGCCTCTGTGAAACAGTGGGTATGGTGCTCAGCTGCTGACCCAAAGGGCGCCGGCCCTATCCCGGCCCCGGCGGTCGCATTTTGATGGAGACGAAATGGTAGTGACCCTCGTACAGTGCAATGTCAGTGCACGTTAAAGAAACACCATATAATAATAATAATAATAATAGTAATAATAATAATAATAATAATAATAATAATAATAATAATAATAATGATAATAATCTCATCATCTTATCATCTTCTAACCAGACTCGGCTGGTCTTCGCTCATCGACGCGGCTTCGACTCTACTGGCTCTCGCTTTCGTCTTCCGCTATGTGTTACATACAAGCGACTGTCGTAAGAATTGTGTGCGCGCACGCACGCACGGCTGCCGGAGCGGGACGGCGGCGCGCCCGAATATGCGCCCTCACGCGTGTTCCTGGTCGCCCCAGTGCTGGTCGCTTGTTCGAATCGCCAAATAGACGACGCCCATCGCCTTCTCTTCGAGCGCGTGGAACTTCGGGATAAAGAGAAAGGCTTTTACGCTCTAGTAGCACACGCATCGCAGTAGAGAGCGCGGTAGTGGGGGAGGAGGTGAGGGAGGGGTACTCCACTCTCCTCTTTTTGGCCTGTGGAAGGTGGGTGGTGTCTCGGCTTGTTCGCTCGTCACCCCCCTTCTTTCCGGCGTTGCAGACTTGGGTGACTTTCTTTTTCCGGAAACGGAAAGTCACCATTTGACACCGCCTGGCTGCCAACTTCGCTCAGAGCCGACAGCGTCATCCAAGCGCGCTGTGATTTTGGCCCGATGTGGCTTGCTTTATCGCATCGCCGCATTGCGGCGTAAACCAGCTACACGACAGTAGGTGGTGATGAAAGTAGCTGCCGGTGATGAAAGTATACAGCACAAACACATCGTAAACTTGAACTTCATGTGACGTTCTATGGGCTCACTTTCATAAATACTTGTACGATTCGAGCATGTGACAAATGTATAAAACCGCTCCTACGCCCGTTTGAGTTCTTTTATTGGCCATTAGAGGCTAAGTAAACAGGAACATGAGTGAGACGCTCAGGAGCGTAATATACTGCTTATCTATGCCTCCCATATCTTGACTCCTAGACTTGATGTAGAAAAAAGAATACAGGTGGAATCCAATTCTGCAGCACTTCTCAGAAAACTGGTTTTGAATTTTCAGAAAGAAAAAAATAGCGCTCAATTTGCCCTAGTGGCGCAAGGCTGGAACGAACAGCGTAGCTAATGTTCGGCCTAGTCATAACCTAGTTAAGCGTTTGCTAGAGAGGCCAAGTTTTTAATGGAAGGTTTGCTAACTAATTGCTAGCCTTGGCTATTCTTTTCCGTTTTCGGTCCATTCCGCACACCATGCACGTCCCAAGGGGTCTTAGCGGGAACATATCACGTGACTAGTCACGTCATTATACGTGATTTTAGTCACGTGACCAGTTACAAAAAGTTTGTCAATTTACTATAGTTGTTACCCACGTTAAGCGATTTTTGGTCATGTGACTACGTGTTACGTAATGGCACAAGATTTTAGCTACGTGACTATCCGTTATGTGGCTTTTGACATAGTAAGTCCCGTAACTGGTTTTCACGTGGTGCTACGTGTTTTCAATCAAGCGACAAGTTGTTACGTCACATTACGTGATCTTTAGTCATGCGACTGCTCACTGTGTGACATTGCGTGATGCCGGAAAGAAGGGCTCGTTTTTTGTAAGCTACAATATTCATAAGAACTGCCCGAAGTTGCCAGGGAAACTATAGGGGATATTCTTAGAAGTGATTGTAAAGTAAATGTCAAGAAAGTTAGTCACTTGGCAAGTCAGCACGTGATTTTTAGCGGCATGACTCGTTGTTGCGTGGTGTTACGTCATTGTAGACCCGTGAATACTTGGCCCGAGTGGCCTGCTCGAACTCTGGCACTCAATTAACCCAAATGTTCATTATCTAATTGAAATGAGTAGTCAGGACTACTGGTACTTTTTCCTTTCTTTTCGAACCCAGTTTATACGTAAGAACAGAGACTTTCTGATATATCCTATTGCAAAAAAGCAAACGTACAGCGCCATCTATCGCCCTCGAATGCGTGCCTCGTTGTTACGCAAAATGCAAATACTTTCGCGCTCCAGTAAGCGCGTCATTACGAATTCAGCGGCACGGGACGACGCTGTTCGGCTGACTTGCGTTATTGGCGTGCATTGTCTTTCCTTTCCTCCAAAACTTCCGCCACAGCCTCCAGCGAAAGTCGGCGATGAGCGTCACGCAATTCTGCCTTTATTTAATTTATTTCTTCTCTTTTGTGGTAAGCGCACTGCCGGGCTTTGGGATGACTGACCACCGCACTTACGCAACACCAGCTACGTGCTCGGCCTATCGAATTGGCGTGCTTATTCCGGCCGAGAAATATACCGCATTAATTTTTGAATCGTGGTCGTGGGCATGCACTTGGAAGTTCAAGACTTTTGCGTGACGCGTGGGGGTCTCCACGCAGTTCGCTGAGACGCGCGTACGTTCTGAACGCACGCACATGCAATTGGCAAAAAAATAAAAATGAGTAAATAGACAAACATCACCCGGCCCTTATGGCTAGCCCATGCGTCTCCGAGTCTGCTTCAGCTGTCCTGGACAATCTGGTAGGTAGACACCGTGTAATGGATAGGGCTCGACGTCAGGTGCCACTCCTTTTACACAGCCACGAGCAGAATCGGGTCACTAGAAAGGTTCTTTATTCGCGTGAGTTTTGCATATTCCGAGTGACCGGCAACCCCTATACTTTGCTTGTGAGATTGCCACGAAAAGAGGACTCCGGACCTCACCGGGTGGGAGCATTGTTTACAATTCAAAATGACCGCAAATAGTTCATTGTTTTTTTTTTCTTCTTTCAAGCCGTATGCAGCACACCTGACGTCCAGGGCGTTCGGTGTCTGCGCCTAACTGGCATAAGCCCGTAGAATAGTACCGCTTGTCTCAATGGTCGGCGTTATGGTATGCACGTCTCGGTTTACAAGTTTTGTGTTATAATTCTCCAAGCTTGGTCGTGCTTCCAGTGACACAGATTGCTTCTCCTTTGACGAGGAATTGGGGCACACGCTATCGGGTGGCATGTAAGGCGAAAGGTGAATTGACAGAAAGAAAAAAAAAAGAGGCGGAGGAGAAGTGGAACACAAGGCAATGTATACGACCCATAAATTGTCAAGCATTGCCTCATATACAACTCACGCGAAGCTATACACCACTGACATTGCGAAAACTTTCGCCAACATATAGTGTCTGTATGGTGCTTCCTTTTCTAAAATTTGTTTTTCAGTTGTCCACATTTCTTTTATTTGCGTATATTTTTGTTTCTGTGTAACTTTATTATTATTTTCATTTTCATTTCTTTTGTGGACGTTTTCTGCTTTTAATTCATATTATTTCTGTGTCGTATTTCCCCTTGCACTGAATTGCTTTGTATATTGTATTTCGAAATTTTCTCTCTATTTTATGGCATTGCTAATGTTTCATTTGGCATTTGAACTGTTCTGACGTGTTACTGCTTGATTTGCCTTGTATAGGATTATTATTATTACCATCTACTAATATTCTGCCAATCGTTTCAAATTCACTTTTGTTGTAGGTTTAAGTGGGGGTCCCGTTATCAGTATTTATACTCTAGAACCCTCATCTGTTTACAAGTATAATATTATTAATGCTTATACAACAAATAAAACTGAAACCGAATGTATGGACGTATTCAAGAGCCGCTTTAAATGTTTTGTGACATGCGCGAGAAACTGGCAGAATGTTCTGTGACGCACGATAAAGTCCAAAGGAACGATATTGAAGCATCTCGGGCTGAAAAATCAATGAGCTGAATGTTTTTTAAACATACGCTTTCGCTGTGAATGACCGAGTGTTTTGAGAAAACGCTGACCACTAATTGTTGCCGTCTAGTTGGCTTTCAATCAGTTCATAGTTAGTTGTGAATGTTAATGAGTCTTTGTGTTAATGAGATATATTGTACCTAACAAAGAAAACAACTCCTTGAGTGTTTTTTGTTACAACACCGGCTGTTTGTTTTTCGTTACATGCCACTGTATGGTCCTCTACGAACTGCAACGAAATGGCTTATGCGGTGTCAGCCGGGAGGCTCGCTAAGGTTCCTCCTGAACCATTTTCATTTTTTGACTATTTTGGGGGGTACGCCTTCTAATGACGATCACGAAGTAGTGTCACAGGCTCAGTGGACTCAGTCTCGGCGAGCATAAGTTACGAACACCAGATTTTGTTGCCGTGTACCCCTTCTAAACTTTACACAAGGCTGATCGGTCGATATCACCGCTCGGCCTATTCTGCAGGGATGTAGAAAATATTGAACATTACTTTTGTCATGTCGCAGATACACATACATTGGAAGACTACTTGTTACTCCGCTTTCAAAGATAGGGATAAATTTAGCTGCAGAAATTATGCTAAGCTTTGGTGCCTCAGGCTTGGAACACTCCCAAAGAAATGTTTTTGATGCTGTTCGAAGTCACGTTCGAGATTCTAAACGTACTCCATAATAATCTTTACTAGAACAACTATTCGATAACTAATATACAGACATAAAGAAAACATTGGAACCCCACCCATTCGAGGCTGATATGATCAGGCTAATTCCGCAGTCTGGTCTACTAGCACAATTGCATTGTGAAACCAGAATTCTTTTACTTACTGTGTGTTTAGAAAAGTAATTAACGATTCAAAGTACTAGGTGCTCTTCCGTGAAAGAGTATGAGGCCGTCCCGGGGGCCTTGCCGGGTTCCAGAATTGTGTTTAGAGAGAATGCTTAATAATTTTGAGTACTTCCACTATGGGAGAGCCGTCAACGGTCCCTAAATAAGAACAAGACGAATAAAGCATCGAGTGCCATACACATTGTCGCTTTTTTATGACTTCACACTGCGCGCACAAATTTTACGTTGGTTGTGTATTCATAGAGACACGTGTTAGTGTGTCGGTTTTTTTTTCATGAACACTTTCACTTGCTGCCAAATTTAGCAAATATTCCAACACCACTACTCAGCCTAACCTAATATTTTAGGTAGGGTCAAAAGACTTTTAATGAATACCATGTCTATCCCCATAGGTGCCGAAAAATTGGCAGAGCCCACGCACAGTGGGAATCGATGATATGCGAAGCAGAATGAGAAATGTTGATATGTCACTGTTAAAATCAGCACAACGTTACGAGGTGCAGGTAAACGATGCCGTACATGACTTCCAGTGTCACGATTATCATTATTGTATGTGTCGTTTACCTTCGTAATCTGTTACACTTCATGTGATACCAATTTAGCATATGTGGAGCTAGTGAAACGACAACGAGCACGCTGTGAGCGTGGTATGTTGTCACGTTCTTACATGATACGCGTTTCAGAATTTTCATGTTTGCACCAGTCATATATTTTGTCGTCCATTGACGTCACGTAACACCGAATTTGGTATATGCGGAGCTGGCAAAACGGCCGCGAACGCATCATGAAGGGTCCAATATACTTCGATGTAGCGTTGACGCGCGCGCACGCTGGGCACAGCGACGCTTCGTTAGCAAAACGTGAGCACGCTATAGTCTGACGCCCGGCGCGACCAGCGTCCGTCGGCGCGGCTCGATGGCAACCAGCACTTTCACGCCGATGCCATAGACTAACATTACTCTATGCCGATGCGTTACCCAGACAACACAGCGTTTCCCTCTTTTCGTGATGGAGGGACGCCGGACGCGCTGAAACGCGCATGCGTCAAAGCAACGCGGTGCGGCGCGCGCCTGCGAGTATATGGCAGGACCGGCACCTGACGTGGCAACGCCGGCGTCACGCGACGAAATGAACGCCGGTGAGCACGCGCACCGTGTCATGTCGAAATGTATTGGCGCCTTGACTGTGGCATGTAGTCATGTTCTCAAATGTCACGCATCTCATGATTATTTCGTTTGCACCAGTCACATACCTTCGTCATCCATTCGCGTACCGTAATACCAAATTTGGTATATGTGACGCTAGCTAAATGGCCCCGAGTGCATCACGAGCGTGACATGTGGTCATGTTGTTACATGACCCGCGTGTCATGATTTTTATGTTAGGGTCTGTCGCTTGTGTTTGCCATGCAATCATGTCATACCATACCAGTTTTGAAAGATGCCATGTGAACGAAACCACCGCAAGAGCTGCAGGACCGTAAAATGTAAATCATGACATTCATGACATAGATGTCATAATTTTCATGTTATGACTAGTCAAATATGTTCTTCATACAGCCATGCTAGGCCATACTAAGTTTGGTATTGATACCATTATCGAAACGGCCAGGAGAGCTAAATGTCGTAGGCGGCTAGATAGATAGATTGATAGATAGATACGCTCAAAGTCGCCGAAGTTCGCTAAGAAATGCTTCGCATTTAAAACCCTGGACCATTTCCCGCTAAAGGGAATTTTGCGTAGATGCGAAGCAGCGGGTGCTAACGCTTACACTGGCGGCGATGGTAACGCTGGCGCTCATCAAGCGAAAGTCAAGTAAAGACGCCTTTGAATGTATTTTGAATCAATGTCCGAACGCGCGATCCAGTGCACGGGATGGCCAATGAACGGTTCTGTAGTGCGAGCAGTCGGCTTTTTGCTGGCAGACGTTGCCAGCGTCGGCCTTGGGAGGCTAGCTAGGGGGAGGGGAGCGACAGTTTTGCGGGTGTCTTCCTGGGCTGGCGCGAGACGCGAGCATGCGCAGTGAGCTGTACGGAGGGACCGCGTTACACACGCGAGTCAAAGAGCTGCTTCGCATCTAAAAGTACTTGAGATGCGAACAGAAACAACTCTCTTTCACATATAAATGGCAGGCATGGCGCATTTCCGGGGTCATTCTTAGGTTGTCATCATCATCCTCACTAGCATCATCTGCCTGAAAATGCCCATTGCAATGCAAAGACTTCTGCCATGTTCCGCCGATCAACCCGATTCTTTGCTTGCTGCCGCCATTGTGTATCCGCAAACTTAATTTCATCCGTCCTCCTATATTGATGTCTCTTCGTCGCGCAATCCATCGGAGTTAAATATTTATTAGAATAAAGATGGGTGGATCACACTTGGCACGCATCACTACATCTCAAGAAGAACGAACAGTACATAACAGCTGCGTCTTACCGGTACTTACCTGCGGGACTGAAAGGTGGTGGCTTCAATGAGGGTTCAACTTAATTGCCGACGACGCAGCGAGCAATGTAAAGGAAAGTGATACGCGATAATTTAAGAGACAGAAAGAGAGCAGAGTGGATCAGAGAGAGAAGAATTGTTAGAGAAGAAAAGATGCAGAGGTTACCTAGTCAAGAATAACCGGTTTGGTACCTTTCACGGGGAATCGGTGTGGGAGAGATTGAAAGAAGAATACAAAAGAGGAAATAAAAAGAAACAGCACATCACTTAGTTTGTCAGGGAACAAACGGGTGTAAGGACATCATATAATTGAAATCAAGAAGAAAAAATTGACAAGCAATTGACCGTCGTCCGTCCGTCCGTCCGTCCGTCCGTCCGTCCGTCCGTCCGTCCGTCCGTCCGTCCGTCCGTCCGTCGATCCGTCCGTCCGTCCGTCCGTCCGTCCGTCTGTCCATCCGCTTACGTTTGGG